CCCGCCGCCGGCCTACACTGTCGAAAGCAAAAAATAAAAAATGAATATCTGAATGAAAACATGCGCAGTTTGTAAAAGTTTCACGGGTATGAGCTTTTTTTGGGCAGTATTGATATCCAGCGTGGAGCGGCGCAACGACGCTTTTTGAGGCGCGTGACGACTCGGCCGTCCGTTTGATGGTGTCCGGCGGGTATGGGCTCGGCGCGCCGCGGCGGGGACGGCGATGGCATGTCGGCAGTAACACGCGGACGTGCTCGGCATCGGCGACCGCCTCGCTCGATTGTCTCCTGTCGACACCTGACGGGCCGCGGCCTTTGAGAAGACGAGAGGGCCTCGGGAGAGCGACGGCCCGTCCCCGCGCCGGCGGCGGACGAGACGGTGATGAGGCGGTTAGAGACCGCTCCCAGCAGAGCATTCGTGTCGCGCCGTCGTCCTGTCCCCTCCTCCCTCGGCGGACAGCGCTGCGCGTTCGACCGCGAGGAAGGAGCAGGCGCTCGGGGGTCATCCTCTTCCCCCTTGTTCTTCTCATCCCGTTTTGAAACCGCCTCGGCAAGAGAGTTATGCGTTTGAAAATTAGCCGTTTGTCGGGTCTCCCCTACTCCCCGGCGGATCCCTCCGCTTGTATTCCTCCCTGCACTCCAGGGGAGTCTAAACAAAAGGGTATCTCCTCTTGACGTTGTTCAACGTTTGGCCCGGAATACCTAACCTACCTACCGTGTCTGTGTGTTTTTTTCCTCTTTGCCGCCGCGATTGTCTGGAGGAAGGGACCGCCACCGCCGCCCATTGTCTGCGGGACGAGAGCGGCGGTCCCTGTACCAGCCGCCCGATTGAAATTGAAAGTAGATTATTGATGGTGCTGACCGGACCCGGGACCGGACCCGACCGGACTGGCCAGACACACACACCACCTGCCCGACCTGGCCGCCGCCGGCCCGAAGGGGGAGCTCAGTCCTTTATCCTTACATGTCGGAGGTGCGTGTTTGCATTCGGGTGTGAGCAAACAAATGCTCGCCTGCCGTCTGCCTGCCGACCGCCGCCGCCGCCCGCTCAGAGCGTCGACGGCGTCGTGCACAGATTGCGTCTGTCGTTACAGGGCGCTAGACAAGCCAATGTAGTACTTACGCACCGTCAAAAGCTGCCAAAAGGCACTAAAGTTTTGCATCTTTGGGACGTTTTAGTGCACTAACGGATGACTGCGTGTTGTGATGGTGGAGTAGGATGATGATGATACGCCGGAACCCTTAGTAAAGTTTAGATATAGAGAACGACCACGATTCTTAATGAATTCTTGGAGGTAACCCTTTTTTTCAGTCGGCTTAACCAGACCTGCTCCGAACTCGGGAGGGTCGTGTTGAAAGTGCCCGCGCTCTTAAAGCATTACGTAAATTGCATGCAACCCATTTAAGTTTATTTCCGAGTTTATATTTCGTTATAATAAAGCAAAGATGAGATCTATTATCTAACAAGAACAACGACAACATGGCTGGAGGAGCAGGGGGAAGAAAAGTCAAAGCTTGTCGCTTATTTGGTTGTCTTTCTTTTTCTGTGTTGGTCTTTCTCCCCTGCTCCCCTCCTTTGGTAGGGGGGGG